GCAGTTACTTTTGATTCCAGAAAATTCAAGGGCCACGTTTTAAGCTGAATTTCTTCAACAGGAGGTGCTGGCGGTTTCCAAAGTACAAAATAAGGAAGAAGTGCATATGCACCTCCAAAACATGAAAGTATGAGGAAGGGCCATACAGGAATACTGTTTTTTGAGCTGTAGAACAACAGATGGAAGATATGAAATCAGCTTCAGTTATTGTCAAATAGGACATATACATAAGAAAACATAAAATTATTGTATTTAAAATTCGTGTTCTGAGTCAAATGACACCGAATAGTACGATACATGAATGATTTGGTACAACGTGGTGCTTACTGATATTAATCACATAATTAGTACAACATCATGATCAACTCCTAGAACTATAAATTTTCATAACACATCTCAACTAAAAGGTAGAGGTTTATGAGTGGCTTGAAATCTGATAAAAGAAACATATTATATATGTTGGACAAATATACGTAGCAAAGGGAAGTACCTTCTTCCTGTAGGAAGCAAGAGCATGCTATATAACAATGGCCACAAGCCCATTATATACCACAATGATACTAACACTTCATTCATTCTGAAACCATCATCCCCTTTCAGATTCAGGAGCTTTTTCAGGAAATATGAATCCCTTGACTGAATGAAAGAAAAATCTCACAGTTAAGACAAAAGGAAAGGAAAAATAGAAGCATTGCAAAGGCTACTTTCTGTGATGAATCCGAGACTCTTGAATCAATATATGAGTCTCTCACTGAACTGCAGGGTCAATACACAAATTTAAGGCTGTAAAAGAATAAAAGTTTAATACAGTAATTGTAATTTCACAAAAATGAGGAGGTGCAACTATCTATCTTCCTTAAAATGACTCTGGGTTCGCCATAGACTACTTTTGTGCTCTTATAAGAGGACCAAAGAGTATATTGAATCCTCAAAGATCTTACAAGGTATATTGATTTCCCATTTTAGTCCATGAGGGACTCTAACATTGTTCAATCTCAGCCCAATGAGCCTTATTTTTGCAAAGATTCTATTAAAAACCCTCTTGTGGATAATAACTATAACTTTGATTCACAAATAACATTAGAAGGTTTTGTTGTTATGGTGGAGATTATATTTCCTCTATAATTATTTTTTATTCTCAAATGAACTGATATAAACAAATCACAAGTAATACACATTCGAATATCCAATCGTTTTCCATCCCTATGGAAATCGAATTTTATATGATGATTAGCACATTTCAAATTGGAAAGACAGAAAGAACATACAGGGGTCTGGTTTGGGGTGAGAAAGAAGACATAGTAGATGAGTGCTGTCCAGAGGAGAAAGAGCAAAAAGGAGGTTGTCCAGTCTCTTCCATCATTCCCACCAAATTCGCTCTCTTTCTTCAAGCTATGGCAGATTTGGAAACCACTCTTTTTCTGAAACGGAACGAACAGAGTTTTGATTCTTGCTCTCACACGGAGTGGTTTTGGGGTTGGTGAAACTCTGAAAGGAGGAAAATTGTTGTGGGGCTGAAGCGAAGCTCGGAAAGTTGTCTTCTTGGTGAGAGTGGGAAAGTTGGGAGAGAAGAAAATGGATTGAGCCAACAGCATGTTGTCTTATGGCTAACCCGATGACCATGTATATTTTAGTGCTCTCATATTCGTATCTCTTGCCCCCTCTCACTAGCTGTATAGAAAGAGACAGGAATATTATATAATAATAATAATAATAATAATAATAATAATAATTATTATTATTATAACAAGAATAATAAGAATTGTAATAATAATAATATAAAACTGAGAAGATGATTTGGGTGCACGTGGTCTTTTCATGTTCAAATTCTCGAAATTAAAATTTAATGTAATGTAATATAAAAAACTAGTTGTGATGAAAAAAAAGTCATTCAACAATAAAAATAAAATTTTTCTAACTAAATATTTTAAAAATAGAGTATATTCTTTATAGTTTATTTTATTTATAATTCTTTTTATCTTAGAATGTTGCATACTATTACATATTATTAGGACTCCAGTAGGAACGGTGGACATAGATGATTTTGAATTTTTTTTGTAAACTTTTCTTGCAATACTTTCTTTTGTTTAATATATATATATATATATATATATATTTTTGTATTTCTGAAAGTTCATAAACCTTAACGTAAGTTGGAAAATTGTGTCACAGTACTTTTATTTATTTCATCCAAAGTTTTCACCTGTAACGACAAGAATTTGGATCCCATTTATTCGATATTCATAGTGAGTATAAATATTATTAATATTTTTGTTTTCAGGACCTGAGCTTCTAATTGAATAAAGAGCTGAAAGGCAAAGTTCCAAAGTCTGTTTTTTGTGCTTTCTCAAGAAACTTTCTACATTCCATACATACTGCCTTGTTGAAGTTTCATGGCTTATTTTCCTCCTCATCTTATTTCTCATCCTTTAGAATATTTGATTTTTATTTTTCATTCTTAAAAAGACGTATTTCTTTCTCCTTCATCAACTCTTTAATATTGAAAATGGAAATTATTTTCTCTACTGGTCAAGTATATAAAAATTATATGAGTATTAATTTAAAAAAATAATTAAATATATATGATATGATGCTCTAAGAATTAAAGTCTTGTATAATGATTAAGATAATATAAAATAATTATTCTATTCTATTTTCGTTAATCATATTTACTCTGATAAGACTATTATTATTTAAATTTGTGCTTAAAACAAATTTAATACTTTCATAATTTTAACAAATTTTTTAACTTTCCATTTGCACAAATTTATAGAATTCAACTTTTTTTTTCTTTTTCCCTGCTTCTCAAATAGTGTATATATATATATATATATATATATATATTTAAATTAGCTTATGTATTTCGTTCTTATTTTTTTAAAGAAAAATCTTAAATAAATCCTTTTATTTTTATATGTCTTAATTTTGTCTCTATTTTAAAAAGTGTGATACAAATCTTTTTATAAATATTGTATTAATCATGTTAAAAAAGTATAATGTGTTAGTTTGTATTATTTTATTTTTTTTAGTTTTTTTAAAATAAAAATTTGTCATGTATTAAATTAAAATTATGTTTAAGACCCGTACATATAAAATGCCATTATTTTATTTTATTATAGTGGTTGTGTTTTTATTGTATTTTATATAATCAATATATTTTCTTGCAGGTGAAAAAGTAATGTATAAAATAATATATATATATATATATATATATATCATCAGTCCTTTTCAAATCATATAACATATTTCTGTACTTCAACAACATTTAAATAAGAATATTTTAATTCATTAAATACCTAATTTAAAGTAACAAAATTATTAAATATTCAAAATAAAAATGATTGGGGAACTCGAGTTATTTTAGTTCTTAAGGTGGTGGGGTTACAATGGTTTGATTATGACTCTATTGAAGAAAGTGTACTACACCAGGTTTGTTTCTTTGACCTCTCTGTGCTTTTACATCTAAAATGTCATGAAAATTGAGACTGTACTGTAGTTTCTGTTGGAAATGGTAAGATGATTATTGGTAACATAGTTAAATGTATTGAACAATTATTCTTCTGTAATTACTTAACTGAGAAGTATAAATAATTTTTCAAATCTGCTTGTTGCGTCTTCTTTGTTTATTTTGTTTCTCTAATCTTAGCTTTCATCGTTGTTCTACTTTTAGGGTTCTGAGTCTCAGTGCCATTGTCATTGTGTTGTTTCCTCAACGTCTTTAAGTTTTATTATAATATCGGAAAATGGGATCAGCAAACTCTAATGGTGAGAAATCAGAAGGTTCTCTTTTCTCTTTTTCTGGGATACCAAACATCACCTCAGAGATACTGAATGGCAAAAATTATTTAGCCTGGTCTACTTCCGTATAACTTTGGTTTCTTAAACAGGGACACTATGATCACTTGGAGAAATCATTGGATGAAATTTCAGAAATAAAACGTGATATATGGAAAAAGGTTGATTATCGACTCTGTGCTTTGCTGTGGCAATCTGTTGAACCTGATATCCTAGTGATTCTAAAAGCTTTCAAAACATGTCATACTTTTTGGAAGAAGGCTCAGAATGTTTTTGGTTATGACACTCAAGGGCTCTATGATTCTGCAAAAAAACTGGTCACCCTTAAACAACGTCATCATGACATGATTTCTTATGTTTCAAAGGCACAATCTGTAGTTGAGGAGCTGAAAACATATATGCAAGCTGATACTTTGGAAGAAATAAAGAACAAATGTGATAATCTGTTAAAGATGCTGGTTCTTCAAGGAATGCATCCAGATTATGAGCAATATCGCCGTCAAATTCTGACTAGTCAAGAGCTCCCTTCCATGGAAAATTTGTTTATTCGTCTTCTACAAGCTCCTTTCCCTAAACCTGGTGGAAATTCAACCGATGATATTCAGTCATCTGCAATTGGGTCCAATCAAGATAATCGGGAAGGACATGGTGGTGGAGGTTGTCCTCAACGTTCACGCTGTAATAGAATGCGCTTCACTCAAGACGCATGCGATTCACTTCCTGGGCTGCCAGAAGAAACGGTGAATATCTCAAAGCTTGAAAACTTGTATTATCATGTCTGATTTTTTTATTCCCCTTTTCTTACTTGCTTATATGTCTGTTTGTGTGTAACCAATATATTGTGCAAAGTTTCATTATGTTTTTACTGTAAGGGCTGAATTTTTTTTATTTCTAATTTATGTATTTTAGGTTCACTTTCTATGTCTAATTTAGATGACTATTTTATTTTATGATAGCCATCTTCTATTCAGATATGTAACCTGTCTACGTACCCTTAACTAAGTTGTCTAGATTTCAATTTTGATGATGCTTCTTTGAGTATGAAATAAACTGATGTGGAAGGAGAATATCTACATTGTGTGCATTTGAGGTCCCCAATAGTGTTAGTTTTGCAGCGAATAATCCATTCATTAGGAACCAACCTTTATGGTATTATTTCGGAGGAGCACTTTAATATGCTTCTTGTAACACACTTTAGAAATCTTTTAAGTACTACAAAATTGAAAGAGAGGCTTCGTAGGTAAACTAAAAAAAATGTAATTTTTAGTAAACATTGAAAATTTTGTTCATAAGAGTGAATTTCAGAGTGTGTTACCAGAATTTGTGTAAGTACATTTTGCTGAAAATATATGATCCTGAGAAAGAGGAGCTACATCTACTTTTCTTCAAGTTGAAGTTTTACTGGATTTGAGATGAGGGATGTAGGTAATTAATGATTCAATGGTTATAATAGATGAAAACCGCATTTTGTACAAAGTTAATTTTGGCATGAGAATATGGGTAATATAATATAAGTTAACCCTTCTATACAGTTGATTTAAACTAATAAGTTGTTTTTATAATTTTTTTGGTGAGAAGTTTCTTAGGAGTATTTGAAGCCAACATCAAACCAAGCTTATTTTGGTGCTGTCATTTAAATTTCTATTTTCTGTTGTTTCTGCTTTATTCTGAAAAATTTGCAATCAATTTCTTCAATGGATTAATGCAGGAGAGGTTGAAGAAAGAACAAGAAGAAAAGGAGCACAAAAAGAAAGAAAAGGCGGAGGCTCACCTTTACACTATTATAAAGGTTCCCTGTGTCTAGTTTCTAACTTGCTATTCAGAATTGAGTACTGTGTCTATACACATGCTTTGTGCCACCTAATCAGGTTGTATTTTGACATAACCTGATAGCACGTGACACTTCTTAGGTGGCACGAGATGAAGACCTTTCAGGGCAGATCGGAAAGGATATATATTTTGATCTTGTAGACCATGACAAAGTGAGGAGTTTCTGTGTCCAAAAACAAACATCTTTTAACCTTTTTAAGGTATAATCTTTAATCACACTTTTAGCTCTTGTGCTAGATGTTTTTTGGCTTGGCATATCTTATTCATTTCTTGTTTGCTTTGCGCTCTGCAGTAAATCTCTCTTGTCAAGAAGTTGCAATTTATTTGGAAAAAATTGGAATTCTGGACAAACTACTTTTCTGACAGCATGCCTTATTTGTTTATGATTGTTTTATGTTGTGGATATTATAAACTGTCCATTGACCAAAATCTATATTATTATAAATGTTGTTGAATGGTAAAAAATTCAAAATAGGATTGGAAAAGGAGAAATCTTTCAGTAGAATTATTTTTCAAAGAATGAGCAACTGATAGGATCTAAGGTAAGAGGATAGAAAGAAGAGGAAATGAGAGAGTAATTAGGAAAGGCGGGATGGTGGTCTTGTATAAATAGAGTTCTATTCAGTGTTAGAGGGGAGTTAGTCATATTCTTTCAGATAGACAGGTCTTGGAACTTGTGAGGGGGGTTAGGCTCCTGTTAGATGGAGGGAGGTTATGCTCCCAGATACTGATTGTACGCTACTTTTGTTGATGAGAATACAAATAATTAATTCTTTTCCAATTGTTTTTCTTGCTGTGATTGTGTGAGTGAGTTGTCATCGTTAGGTTTCATACTCAAGAACCTAACAAATTGGTCCGACCTGCCGGATCTATTTCGGAGAAAAGAGGAGCGAGCAAGGGGGAACGGTAGCGAAGAAGAATGGAAGGACGAATGGCGGCGATGGAGTCGTCAATGGAGGAATTGAAGGCAAAGGTGCAAGCGATGACTCTCGCGTTCCAACGAGCTTCAGGACGTCGCACCAGGAACCAGCCTATGAGCTCCGAAGGAAGTCGTGATTCCGTTAAGGCTGGACGCGAACGACGACCACTGAAAACTCGGAGGAGGAATCGGAAGAAGACAGAGGAGAAGTTCGACGCAGTTGGAGGAAATGCGTTGAATTACCTACATTTAAAGGTGCAGATCCCACTGGCTGGATCGCAGAGGCAGAGGAATTCTTCAATCTCCAGAGCGTGACGGAGAAGGAGAAGACGAAGCTCGTCTCTAGATGCATGGAGGGAGGTTTGGCGAGACATTGGTTCCGCTTCTGGCGGAAGAAAACCAGGTATCCGACTTGGAAGATGTTCACCAACGCTCTGACGCGGAGATTTTTGGAGGGCCCAATTGGGTCACTGTTTATGAGGAGATGGCAGCGGAGCGACAAGAGGGGAGTGTCGAGGAGGAAATCCAGGGGTTTGAAATTTTGGTGCCGCAAGCATCTAGAAAACCAGATCACTCCTCACTTTCTGTCTCTGTCAGTCTAGGAGCTAGCATTATAACTGGTGGTGGAGAGGTGGGGGAAAGAGGTACGACATGGGGAAGATGTAACTCAAGCTCGGGGACAGTCGCGCCGACAAAGACGTATCGGGGATCGTCGGAGGGATCTGTCAATGCCGGCGAAGGGTGGGAAGACGAAGAAGGAGGAAGGGAAGGCAAACATACCGAGGGGCAAAATAGCTGGTCGAAATGGGTGGAGCTACCCCGTCTTCGAGGGGATCGATTCGCTGAACTGGATCAATCACGCAGAGAAATTTTTCGACTTACAAGGGGTATCGGAGGAGGAAAAGGTACGCCTAGTTGACATCAGGATGGAGTGGAGCGTTGGCTACTGGTTTAGATCCTGGAAGGAGAAAACCAAGAATAGTTCATGGGATGGTTTGAAGGAAGCCCTGGTGATAAGGTTTGGAACCATTGTTGAGCGTTTGGCGGCATCGAAACAGACGGGGACGGTGGAAGAGTATGTACAAGACTTCAAGAAATTTGCGGGTCGAACAAAGAGGTTGTCGGACGAGCAGCTGCTAGGATATTTTTTGGCGGACTTGTAAGAAGACATCTGGAATCAAGTCCGACCGCATGACCCGCAGGACTTGATGGTGGCGATGCGGATCGCAAGGGATGTTGAAGAATTCCAGGGAGGCGAAAAGGTAGGGAACGGGAGCGGGATATAAGACGAGTCATCTTGGGGACAAATGAGTGATGAGGTGACACGGTCCGAGGCCAATTGCTATAACCCAGGCCGATCGAGAGTTGCCAAGTGGTCTGAGGCCAAGCGCTATAGCCCAGGCCGATCGGGAGTCGCCGAGCGATCCGAGGCCATAGAAGATCAGTCGTCTGGGGGACGAACGAGCAGTGAGGTGACACAATCCGAGGCCAATCGCTATAACCCAGGCTGATTGAGTGTGGCCGAGCGGTCCGAGGCCAAGCGCTATAGACTAGGTCGATCGTGAGTCGCCGAGCGGTCTGAGGCCAATCAAGCAGGCCGATCGGGAGCCTCGACAGTGTGGGGTCAATACTGAACACCTGAAATCTACCTTACTCAGAAAAAGAGTCTACGGATGGTTATTTTGGCAGAGGATGAAGAGGAGGAGACTGAAGGAGCTGAGACAGAATTAGACTTGAAGCAGACGGAGTTGTCCACAATTGAAGGGAATGGCACCTAGGGTCAAACAACAAGTGCAACAGATGTTCTTGAAGTTCAAAACATCAAAGGATCAACAAAGGTTCACCCAACAATCAATAATATGGAAGAAAATGCAGTCGAAGGGTTCAAGACCTGGCAACAATAATCCAAGAATTTTTCCTGGGAAGATCTTGCACCAACTTTGTTCAGGGTTGTTAACGAGAGCCGAAGGCAGGGGGAGGAGCGGTACAGTTTAAAGATAGGGAGAAGAGAGCCGAACGGTATAAAGATAGGGAGAAGAGAGCCGAACGGTATAAAGATAGGGAGAAGACATCCGAACGGTAGAAGAAGTTATTTTACAGGGAAGGATAAGAAGCTCCTCGCCTTTAAGGAAACAATGCAGACACAAGAATGGTCCCATAAATTTTATCTCTCAATTCGACCACCACCCAAGCCTCCAGACCAGAAGTTGCAGGTAGTAGCCAGCGGGTTCCCTTCCTGTGATAAGACCATATCACAATGCCATGGGCTCAAACTTCATTGTTCCAACCTTGAGGACAAGGTTGTTTTGCAGCAAGGTGTAATGGTAGGATCTAAGGTAAGAGGATAGAAGGAAGAGGAAATGAGAGAACAGTTAGAAAAGGCGGGATGGAGGTGAGAACAGTTAGGAAATGAGAGAGGAGTTAGTCATATTCTTTTAGATAGCAGGTCTTGGACCTTGTGAGGGGGGTTAGGCTCCCTTTAGATGGAGGGAGGTTATGCTCCCATATACTAATTGTACACTACTTTTGTTGATGAGAATACAGATAATTCATTCTTTTTCAATTGTTTTTCTTGTTGTGATTGTGAGTGAGTTGTCATCATTAGGTTTCATACTCAGAAACCTACAGCAACACTAATTTTGCTCTTTTCCTTGTGAGAGGGATTCAGTGGCATGGAACTTGCCCCTTCTTTTCTCTATATTATGTTCACAGTTGATGAGTAGTCTCAATATCAATTGACTGGAGATAAGCCACGTAGGATCTGGGGTATGGAATACTGATAATATGTTGTAATCCAAGTTGATTTGTTAGTATATTAGTTTTTCTCACTTCTAAACATTTTATACATGTCATTCATGAAAAATCATTTGTTTTGTTGCTTATTCTGAGTAGATAGTTATTTTTAGAAGACTGTTAAAGTATAAAACTTATGAAGCTTTAGCCGAATGAAAACATATTCCATATAAATCTTTCTGTTCTTTGATTTTCTACTTGAATTTGAAGATGTTACAAACAAAAGCCAAAAGTTTACAGGAGACAGATTTGATTGACATGGACATGGGCACAGAAATTTGAAAAGTCTTGAATGAAAAAACAGAGTTATTGTCTTAAAAATTACCTCAAGTTATTGTTGACTAAACATTAATATCTGATTGTTATGGTATTTTAGTTTAATTTAGCATAAAAGGATAAAAGAAAAATGCAACTGGAAGTATATGAAATATTTTTAAAGTGTTTTGCATGGTTACTTTTCTAACACAGCTATGACATAAATACTATTAGGAAATATAAATTCTTTCCTATATGCTTGCCCGAAACACCTACTTTCATTGGTTTCATTTTTTGAATCTGATTGCTGGCTGATCCGTGTGATTAACAGGAAGAGGTTGCTAAAGAGTTTAACATACCAGTTCAATTCCAGCGCTTTTGGCTGTGGTCAAAGCGGAAAAACTGTACATATCGTCCATATCAACCGTTGACACCCGTGGAAGAAGCACAATCTGTATTATTTTGCTTATATACCCGCATTCCAGCTTTATATCCATTTCTTGTTTACCTCACATATGTGTGTTGAATCTGTTTTTTGCTTCATGTCTATATCATCAACATACCAATTTCGTTAAATTCCTGGCTGATTTGCTTATTTGGATTGTATTTCTTGGGCTGGGCATAAAGTTAATTCTGTGTTGGCTTTGCTTTTAAACATTTCATTTCTCCCAGGGTTGGGTAGTTGTTTATTTCTGAAAATGAATAAGAAAAGCAACTGGTAAACATTTAAACTACTTTTTGTGAGCCTGAGGTTTGCTTTATTATTTGTGTTGAGATGGTGAATACTTCTATTGTTATTTATATCTCCCAGCTTTTGCTTAATTTCTGCCACGTATTTCTGTGCTATCTGAAGTTGTTCATACTTTTTGTTGAACTGATTTGCATTACAGGTCGGACAGTTGGGAGAGGTATCAAACAAGGTTCACAATGCAGAGTTGAAATTGTTTTTGGAAGTGGAGCTCTGGCTGGTAACATTTGTTTTTATGGAAGTTGTATTCCACTTTCATTGCATGAATATGAATATTCAAATTCTGTCCTTCTGACAAACTACATCAATATTTAGGATTTACTTCCAATTGCACCACCCCACAAGACAAAAGATGATATATTACTTTTCTTCAAGTTATATGATCCTGAGAAAGAGGAGCTACGGTACTGAGTAATGTCTATATTTGAACTTCTGGTTTTGGCAAAACATGAATCTTTGTTGCATCCGATATATTTCCCTCTTGTGGCAGTTATGTTGGAAGGCTCTTTGTGAAGAATACTGGTAAGCCATTGGAAATCTTGATGAAATTAAACAAAATGGCTGGTTATGACCCTTATGAAGAGATTGGACTATATGAGGTTTGTTTGTCTTCTCGTTTAATATTTTATCATTTGCTGAACACCATGAAAATTTTTAGACTGCTCTTCATCCTTGTATGATCTAAACACTTTATATTTATTTAATAACTACACTTCATCCTTGTATGATCTAAAACACTTTATATTTGTTTAATGACTGCACTTCATCCTTGTATGATCTAAATACATTTTATTTGTTTAACAACTACACTTATATCTGCACGTACCTTTTTTTATAACATATTTTAGGTTCTAATCTCAATGAGTTTCTTTCCTCATGGCATTTGTAAATTTACCGTGTCTACTATTGTTCAGGAAATTAAGTTTGAGCCAAATGTTATGTGCCTACCTATTGATAAGAAATTAACATTTCGAGCTAGCCAGGTAAATTATAAAGCCATTGGTGCACTTTGTCTTTTAATATCTTTGATTGTTTATTGATTTGTTTTTTCTAAATTTGCAGTTACAAGATGGAGATATTATATGCTTTCAGAAAGCTCCTGCTAAGGAACATGTCCGCTATCCAGGTGTGCCTTCATACCTAGAATATGTGCACAACCGCCTGGTACTTTCCTTTTTTGGGTTCATTTAAAGGCAATCTGTGTGGATTGATGTGATGCTAAAATTATCACCACCCAACATTCAATTGTATTATGTTTCATTTTCTCTTCCTCCTCCGTCCATGCCTGCACATATCTGTATGTTTGTAACCAATCCACCATGAGTTTTTCATTATCGTAAGATGTTTTCTAGTTTTTTAATATCCATTTCATGTATTTTAGGTTGTTCACTTTCGGTCTCTTCATAAACCCAAGGAAGATGACTTCTGCCTCGAGATGTAAGGCATTGTGTAATTTATTGGAGCAAATCATTAGATCTAATATATTGCAGTTTTAGCTGAGAGAACATGTAAGTATTTACTAATTATTTTGTTTGGAATTACATCCTTACCGTATACTCTGTACATTAATTTCTAGGTCAAGGCTCTATAAATATGATGATGTAGTGGAGAGAGTGGCTCAACAACTTGGTTTGGATGATCCATCCATAATCAGGCTTACGCCTCACAATTGTTACTCTCAGCAACCAAAACCCAAGCCTGTTAAGTATCGTTGTGTGGAGCATTTGTCTGAAAACCAAATGCTGTTTCACTGTGATCAGGTAATCATTGACTTAATGCATAATCTTTCTTTTTGTTTCTTGTTTAAAATCGAAACATCTTATTTCCCTTAATGCATGCCAGACTTCGGACATATTGTACTATGAAGTACTTGACATCGGACATATTGTACTATGAAGTACTAGACATCCCTCTGCCAGAATTACAAGTTTTGAAAACTCTGAAAGTTGCATTTCACCATGCTACCAAGGATGACGAGAGTGTATAGTTTTTGAAAATGATGGAGATGTGGTACATATTATTTCCATGAATGTTACAATGTTTAAATGAAATTTTATGATGAAATGTGATTAATCGAGATGAATGGTTTATGGTATGAGGCCAAAACTTCTAGTCAGATTGAATTAATGATGTATATAGTAAATATTAAGCTAACACGAATTTAATAATATATGCAAGTTGTACTAATATATCAAATGGTAAGAAGATCAAAATTGTGAAAATTGAACTATGGAATAAATCACACACGCACAATTTCTTCTACAATTTTTTCTTTAATATCCAAAACAGTCTCACGAGCTCAGTCTCATGTCTCATTTTTTTAAGTTCTTTGTTTTTATTCTGACTCGTTTTCTGCTTTTATATCTTTTCTGTGTGAGTTTATTTTTTATATTCTGTATTTTTAAATAATAATTAAATTTGTAATGGCATTAAGTGATTTTTATTATAACAATAAAAATTGTCACGCTTGAAAATTCGCCAGCATACACAATTTATATTCTATATTTATTTTTAATATTTAATTCTAACTTTAAACATAATATTTTTATATTAATTAGTAGTCATTAGTGTAAAATATAGCATTAAACTATATAATAGTCATCACAAATTTAATATAAAAGATCGCTTAAAGAAAAGTTTATAAAGTAAGATTTACCGTCATTTAAAATAACTATAAATTTAAATTTTATATACAATATATTTGTATCAAAATTATATACAAGAGTGATGGTATTCACACTAAACAAAATAAAAACTATTACCGATTAAGTTACTACTATCTACGCATTAGAAACCTCTTCACCAAGAACTTGCTCCACTGTCACCATCACTCTCTGTTTATATCCATTAGATGATCATAACCATCATTGAAGTACAAACACATACAAACAACACACAAAGACAAGGGTAAGATAGATACAAAATAAGTCATATAACATTTAAAATAAGTCATATAACATTTAGAATAAGATATACATCACATATAAAATGCATCAAACCAAACATCTTAAAATACAAAGAGCTAGACTTACTATCCAAATCTAGAAGGAATGTCGAGTTATGACGGGTTGTGCATTTGTGGTGGTCTTTACTGCTTTGCAAAGTCATTGCCAATGAGTTTCACCCTACCACACTCATAAGGTTAGTCTGTAACGCGCTTCATACCATACTGGAAGCGCCTAAGACTAAAACCTCTTACTACTCTCACCACATATGTCAATCCTCTCTACTTGAAAATGAATGATTTTTAGAGTGCAGGATAACCCCTAAGATTGAGCTACCTGCATTCATACAAACAATACTTGAAACCAACACCACGAAGTTCCTCCTTGGAACTCATTTTCACAACTTTGAAACACTTGAGATCACTTCACATTCATATAGTATACCAATACATGAAACTACTGATCATACATTAAAGAACTAAAAACTCCCTTACAAGTCATCAAAAATCACACAATAACACAAATTTTCTTCATAACAGCTTGATACCCACACTAGGTAAGGAAAACAGCTTGAAAACCCTCACCAATAGCGCCGAAGGGTCCAAAACCTCCAAAACGACCTAAAGAATGTCCAAAACTGATATCTAGAACCCTGAATTTGAGATTTCCAAAACTTGAAAAACCCAAAACCTGGTGTAATGGCACTCAACCCCCATAAAATGGCGCTTAGGCGCTAGATCTCTGAACAGGGACACTCAAGGGGCGCCTAGAGGTGCTCAAGTGAGTTCCTCTCACAAAAAGGGCACCTAGAGGGCGCTTAGGGGCGCCTCGGTGTGATCTCCTCGGAAAAAGGGCGCCTAAGGGCGCTTAGGGGTGCCCAGCGCTGCATCAACTTCTAAAATTCACTTATTTTGACTTTGGTAACCCTCTACACAAATTTAAATAGTTCCTACAACCTCTTAGGAACTGAGAAATATCTAAGAATAAACCTATAACTTGAAATGACCACTCCAAATCCCAAACTACCAATTCTAGACTACCTAAACCCAATTCTACCATTCCATACACCAAAACAGCAAACTAAAGGCGTAGACAAGTTATAAATGACTCAATTACATACCCCAAACTTCCCAAACATGTCCCAACTCCTTATTTCAAAATTTCACTACTCAAACCACCTATTTTCACTAAAAACCACTCAATCATCAACAATGGACCACCCTCTTTAGTTCCAAAACAGTTTCCACCCAAAACCATGCTTCTAACAACCTTCAATCGTTCCCACAACAGATCTGGAATATCAATTTTCTTACACTAATACTTAGTTCACCAACNAACTTCTAAAATTCACTTATTTTGACTTTGGTAACCCTCTACACAAATTTAAATAGTTCCTACAACCTCTTAGGAACTGAGAAATATCTAAGAATAAACCTATAACTTGAAATGACCACTCCAAATCCCAAACTACCAATTCTAGACTACCTAAACCCAATTCTACCATTCCATACACCAAAACAGCAAACTAAAGGCGTAGACAAGTTATAAATGACTCAATTACATACCCCAAACTTCCCAAACATGTCCCAACTCCTTATTTCAAAATTTCACTACTCAAACCACCTATTTTCACTAAAAACCACTCAATCATCAACAATGGACCACCCTCTTTAGTTCCAAAACAGTTTCCACCCAAAACCATGCTTCTAACAACCTTCAATCGTTCCCACAACAGATCTGGAATATCAATTTTCTTACACTAATACTTAGTTCACCAACTCACTTAATAAAACCCTTTTTTTTTCTAGCCTTAAAACTCATGACTTGGTCTCTTAATACTCCAAAACACATTTCAACCAATTATAACATCCAAGATACATTTAAAACACACAATTCACATAAGTAAATACATTACAATTGTATCATATCAGAATTCACCCAAATCAAACAACTAAAATTCTACTAAATTGCATTAACAAAGTATAAGTATTTGAACATATAATTTAACCATTGTGATATACATGCAAGTACTAAAACTAAATAACAAACACCAATTAAAATTAAATATCTAGCTTTCCTTACCTCACAAACTTGTCTATCAAGTTCTAGAACTGCATCCCGTTTCTTCCGACTCAAGGAACTATAAATACACCTATAAAACAACAAATAGAGATCAAGGTGAGTCCTTAGGACCTATGATTGAAAAGGAGCTAAGAAGAAAGATTGAAACACACATGCGTGAGAAAACTCCATGCATGAACTCGAGTAAGGAACAAAAACAGAAAGGAATTGAAACTTAGTTGTTCTATTACAAAAAACTGATCGGATAAGAATGAAGATCTTGTTGTCGTGATCGATTAGGCATCTCCTAATCGTCAAAAAGATGATTCAAGAGTTAGAACTCTTACAGAGATGGTAGAGAGTTTAAGAGAATAGTATTTAAAAAGAATGTGAATCTTTAAGAAAAAAAACGAGTTTAAAAAAATCTATTTATTTTAATATTTTTTTTTTAAATTTTATAAAATTTTATCTTATTATTTTAAAACACTCTAATATTCTATTTCTTATCATTTTTATTTGTATGACATTATTACGATAACGTGGAATCTATACCTAACATTTAAAGTCTCAATAATAATTTTTTGATAGACAGGAACATTAATGTTGTTAGACTAAGGCTGGTCTTCTCGTGCTCATATTCCTGAAATTAAAATTTAATGTAATGTAATATAAAAAAAAATACTTGTGATGAAAAAAAAAGTTGTTCAACAATAAAAATAAAATTTTTGTAACTAAATGTTTTAAAAATAGAGTATATTCTTTATAGTTTATATTATTTATAATTCTTTTTATTTTAAAATGTTGCATGCTATATTATTTGGACTCCAATTCTAGTATTTCTGAAAGTTCATAAACCTTAACGTACAATAGAAGTTGGAAAATTGTGACACAGTACTTTTATTTATTTGCATTGGAAGTTTCTACCTGTAATTCACGACAAGAATTAGGATCACATTTATTCAATATTAACAGTGAGAATAAATATTATTAATATTTTTTCTTTCACCCACTGAGCCTCTCAGAATGAAAAGCTGAAAGGTTTTAATGCTTTCCTCTGAACCAGTATCTTCCTTATTTCATAACCAATAAACTTTTAAGCAAAAATATATTACTAACAAGTGGATTAGTATGCATTTGACTATATGACTAATACATAATTATCAAAATTCACACATGAACACATTATAAGAAAAGAAACATTGAATTACGAAAAAAAAACTAACTATAAAAATATTAATGGAGTAAGTTAATGTATTGATTCAATATTAAATATAAAATGACTAAATGTTTTTTTCCCTTTTCAATATAGATTCTTCTAGAAATTTCAAAAACTTATTTTAAACATCCTTTATGACATTTTTAGTAGTGATGATTAATATAAAACTAAAATTTCTCACGCGTTATGATTTCTATTAGAAAGTCTTTAGACCTCTGACTGGATGTAAGACTTAATTTCCAGATAATACTTCTTTTCTTTTTGAAAATTGGTGGCCATCTTTACGACATACGACTTCAATATGAAATAGGAAAAATAAAAAAAATGAAAATGAGAAAAAGTACATAAACATAAAAATTGAGAAATTAGTTTGATGAAATACTAATTTAAAAGATGCCATTAAATTACAGGAACAAAATACAAAGTTAAATATTTGGGTTTGTTTCCGTCCAGTTTTTTTAAATATGGTTTTAGTTCGATTTTTTTAATTAAGTTTTATATTTTGTTAATTGTGTTTAATTATTATTTTTAATGTCATTTAAATAATTAGCAGACATATGAAATAATATATTTTTTCAATTATTTTGATATTTTTTTTAAAAAAATAATCTTTTAATTTCTTTTTTAATTTAATTTTTATGAGTTTTATTTTTTATTAATTCAGATTCAATTTTTTTAAATGAGATATTTTTTATATAAATATTAATGTTTTTATTAAAATTAATATTTTTATTAGTTAGTAATTTTGAAATTATTTTTAAAACAATTCTATTAATTATATTATAATAATATAGTTAGAATTAGATTAAAAATAATTTTAAAAATATTAAAAGTAAAGTTTGAAGTGATAGATGTATTAAATTATATTTAATTCAGTTTAATCAATCACTAATATTCAATTCAGCTTAATCCATCACTATTATTTTAATTATATATGTATATTGATCATTAACCTTTCTTAATCAATCAGTATTATTTAATTCAGCTTTGTGTTTTGTTTCAAGAACAGTGTTCAAATTTTTTTTTGTACTTTATTTGAAGTGCTTAAAAAGAAATTTATATTTGATAAGTTTATGATTCTGGATCTCGTATTCTAGTAGGAATGGTGGACACTAATACTATTTTTTCTCCAATAATTTGTTTTTGGTATTTCGAAAAGTTCAGAAACCTTAACGTAAAATAGAAGTTAGAAAACTGTGACAAAGGACATTTATTTATTTGATTGAAAATTTCTACCTGCAAGGACAAGAGCTAGGATCACATTTATTACATATTCATAATAAGAATAAATATTATTAATATTTTTGTTTTCAGCCAGTGAGCTTCTCCTTGAATGAAGAGTTGAAAGGTAAAGTTTCAAAGTCTGGTTTTTGTGCTTTCTCAGGAAACTTTGTACATTCCATACTGCATTCAAGTCTCATCACTCATTTGCTTCTTATTTCTCATTCTTTAGAATATTTGAAACTTTATAGTACCAAACTGCAAGATAGTTTTTCTATGAACTAATGAACATTTCATAACCAATAAACTTTTAAACCAAAATATCACTAACAACTGGATTAGTATGCATTAACTATCTGACTAATACATAATTATCAAAATTTGACACATGAAAACAATATAAAAATCTCACACGGTGTCATTTCTACCAGAAAGTCTCAAGACCTTAAATGGACGCAAGACTTGGAAATTTCGAACATAATACTCGTCCTTTCATTTTGGAAATTGCTAGCCATCTTCACCACATAAGACTTCAATATGAAATAGACAAAAAAAAAAAGAAAATTCCATAAATCTAAAAATTGGGAAATTAGTTTCATGATATACTAATTTTAAGAAAATGTCACAAAATTATATAAGAACATCTGTAAGGAAATGGTTTTAGACCACCCTATATAATTCCTAATCGGTTTACGTATAATACAAAATTAATTTAAGTATTATATACTATTATTTTGAAAATTTAAAATAGCCTAATTTTTTCTTATATATAGATCAACCTGACTGCATTGGCAGCAACCAAACTACATACAAAATGGGTTGGATTTTAGTGTCATACTTGATCATCTTCCAATCTTTGCTTCATTTTTCTTCGTACCATTGTTTATCGTGCAATCCTGATGACAAATCTGTGCTGTTGCAATTCAAAAATTCAGTTGCTGTTGTGGGGCTATCAACTTCGCTTGGTCCTTGTGGCTTGTATTCTCAAAAAACAGCATCTTGGAACAATGAAACAGATTGTTGCGGGTGGAATGGTGTCAGATGTGACTCTGAGTTAGGTCATGTGATTGGCCTCGACCTTTCCTGCAGTCCTCTTAAAGGTGAGCTACTTGGTCCCAATAGTTCCATTTTCAAGCTAAGCCACCTTCAACAGCTTAACCTACTTTCTGGTGATTTAGATGGATCTCCAATACACTCTGCAATTGGTGATCTTGTGAGTCTCACTGATTTAACATTATATTACCTTAGAATTAGTGGTGATGTTCCCTCCACAATCTCTCACTTTTCAAAATTAGAACATCTTGATCTCACTGTAGAATCTCTTGATTCCACAGCGAGACTTGATTCATACACTTGGAACAGACTCATTAACAACGCCACTAATTTAAGGGAAATTTTTTTACGTGGAGTGGACATGTCTTCTGTGGGAGAGAGCTCTTTGTCATTGTTAACCAATCTGTCATCCACTTTGCTTTCTGTCCATCTTACGGATACCAAACTCCAAGGGACATGGCCAACTGACATCTTCCGTTTACCCAATCTCCAAGAAATACGCATCGTAGTGAATGAAAACCTGACAGGTGAACTTCCAAACTCCAACTGGACTACTCCACTAAGATCCTTGTTTATTTATCAAACTAATTTCTCAGGAAACATTCCTGATTCCATAGCCCACTTGAAGTCTCTTAAGTCACTGTCTCTCTTTGAATCCAATTTTGATGGATTTATTCCACCATCATTGTTTGATCTTACTCACCTTTATCTCTTACATTTATCAGATAATAAATTAGTTGGCCCAATTCCAGCCCAAATCACCAAGCTCTCTAAATTATCGATCCTAGATTTGAGTGGTAACATGTTAAACGGATCAATTCCCCTTGGGTGTTATTCTTTGCCTTCTTTATCAATCGTGGATCTTACTAACAATCAACTCACGGGGTCTATTGGTGAGTTCTCAACTAATTCTTTGAAAATTTTGAAACTTTCTAATAATAAACTGGAGGGCAATTTTCCAAATTCAATATTTCATCTCCAAAGTCTTGTTCGTTTGAATTTGTCATCATTGAAATTGGATGGTGTTGTGTACTTTCACCGATTTTCAAACCTTACAGAACTACAGGATTTGGATCTTTCTAACAATAGTTTTCTCAATGTAAACTTTGAAAATAATGTTGATTACACCTTACTCAACCTTTCATTCTTATATTTATCTTCGTGTAACGTAAGTAGTTTTCCAAATTTCTCGGCACCACATCTGATAGATTTAGATATTTCTCATAACATAATTCATGGAAGCTTTCCCAAAAGGTTTCAAGAGAACCTCTTGCTCTTCTGGAATAAAATTAGTTACATTGATCTCAGTTTCAACAAGTTGCAAGGACGTCTTCCGATTCTACCAAATGGCATTCAATACTTTTCAATGTCAAATAATGAACTGAGTGGGGACATTTCTTCAGCATTGTGCAACGCTAGCACCCTTTCTATACTTAACTTGGCTTCCAACAATTTCTCAGGACTTATTCCACAATGCTTGGCAACATTTCCTTCTCTGTGGGCTTTGGATTTGCAAGACAACAACCTTTACGGAAGCATACCTGATAACTTTTCTGAAGGAAATGCCTTTAAGACTCTAAAGTTGAATGGAAATCACTTGAAGGGACCGTTACCACAGACTTTGAATCACTGTACAAAGCTTGAAGTTTTGGATCTTGGAAACAATGACATAGAGGATACATTTCCCTCTTGGTTAGAAACTTTGCCAACTTTACAGGTACTCAGTTTGCAGTCAAATAAATTTCATGGTAACATCACTTCTTTGGGCACCAAACTTTCATTTCCCAGGTTGAGGATTTTTGACATCTCCAATAACAACTTTACCGGACCCTTGCCAACATCATATATCGTCAACTTTAAAGAAATGATGAATGTGGATCACAACCAAACTGGTTCGACATATTTGAGCAATCGTGGTACATATAATGATTCAATAGTGCTGGTGATGAAAGGGGAAAAGAGGGAACTCACGAGGATATTTACTACTTGGATAGTCATTGATTTATCAAATAGAGCAGTAATACAATGACACGCTTACGTGTCACTTACATTCATATGACACGCGCCACGTCATTTTTTTTTTTAAAAAAAGGTGTACTGATTGAGGGTAAAAATGGGAAAAAGGTAAATTTGGGTTTCCTTCTTCTTTCCCTGGTGAATGAAAAATACCATCTAGGTTTACTTTCTCTTACTTTCCTCTCTCGTTGTCCCTCCTTGTTCATTGCTTCCCATTTGTGTTTTTGCATTGCTTCCCATGTGTGTTTTTGAGGTGGTTGAATCGGTGGTTGTGGAGGTTTCGGGTGGGTGTGCAGTTGAGGATTGTGGAGGTCTCCTGTTGGCGTTTTGATTTGTGTCGCTTGTGTGGTGTGTGACTTTGAGGTAGGGTTTTTTCCAATTTTTTTCTATGGTAGTTTTACCGTTTTGAGCACTTGGGGTCATGGACCCATTTATCTGTCGATATGTGTAGACAGCATGTATGTGTTATTTTAGCGGGGTCGATTGAGGTCTAAAATGGGGTCCATTTGTTTCTTTGTTGGGGAGCTTGAGAAAGGCAGTGATAA